TTCTTCCTCTTGTTCCAGGCTGAAGGTAAACTTTCCTTCGCAGTTCACATCCTGAAGGAGGTCTCTGCCCTGTTTGAGGAAGATCACAGCTCTGCATCATGGCAGGAGGTCACAGTGGAGAACTTTCTCAATGTCGTCAACAGACAGGCTGATGAACTTCACTCGTGTGTAAGATTTTTTTTTTAAATGAAACATTTCAATTAAACTATGAAAATTATAATTCTCAAGCTTGTTTTTCTTTTCCTGCGTCAGATTGGGTCTCGGGGAGAATCGAAGAAACAGAACACCAAGCTCCACCTGTATTTCAAGAGGATGTCAAATGAAATCCTGAAGAAAAAGGTTTGTTTTTTATGATCACTCTTCTTCTATATCTACATAATGTTTTAAAGCTGCATAATGTAATAATAATGATAACATTGTTGCATCTTCAGGACCACAGTGCTGACGCCTGGGAGCTGATCAGGAGGGAAGTCAAAGTCTGTCTAATCAAAGCAGACCTCCTGGTTTCCTCTCTGCTCCCCTCCAACCAAAACTGATGAATATGGCCGAACCTTTAATTTATTATTTAAGTATTTATTTACCTATTCATTCTTAATGTAATGCTTCTGCTGTTACCCAAGCTCGTATTTCCTTCTGTTTCTTCTTGTGGAAATAAAAATGATTAAAGAAACAAAAACTACAAAAATGACTTTGAGTTTTATTCATTCATTTTGCTTCAGTAGTATGGAAGAAGTCTTTCAGTTCCCACCAAAATTAAAACAAAAGGATAGTCAGATTCAAAGAAATATGCAGTTGGAATATTTAATAAAAGAAAATATTAATTTAACTGACTAAGTCACTCTAAAAGCTTATTTTGTTTATTTTCGACTGATTCAGAGGTTGTCATACCTGGGGCTCGCTTGATGTTGAAGTGATGGCATCAAGATTTTCTAGAAGAATTTATGATTCCCACTTTCAGCAACTCATTCAAGTCCTGAAGCAGCAACGTAACCCCAAACCACCTTTCTGTCAACAATGTGTGAATGTCAATATGAAGTTCCACCTTTGTCTCCAGAGTCCACAGGATAATTTAATCAAAACTATTTGGGCCCCTGTGTTCATTTTGATCAACAGTGGTTTTGCAACTGTCCCTTGAATGCCTTTTTTTTTTGTCCAGCCTTGTTGAATCATACTGAGCTTAATACAGACAAATAAAGTCTGTAGTGCTTTAGATGTCACTATGGGTTCTTTTAAAGTCTCCTGGATAAGATGTTGATCTGGTCTTGAGGAGGTTTTTGTAGCGGTGGAAGTCCTGGGAAGTTCCACAGCTGTTCCATAATCTCTCCATAATGTGTGGCATTTTGAGATCCTAACTCACTTTTTGAGTCAGGTTGTTTTTAAAATAAATACAGTCGCTAAATTAGTCATAAAGCTTGGACTCATTTAGTATTCTACCAAGATGCTTAAATGTCCCTGTCCCTACTTGGATACACCATCACTATAAGACTCCTGGGTTGAGAAACAAATACAAAGAAGTATTAATGTTTATCTGTTTGTTTTAGAGTTGATCAGGAAATATATGTTTTCAAATGTATATCATCGTTTACACCTTAAGCAAATTACAACTGCATCCAGGAATTTGGTAATTAGGCCTAATTTACATTATTAGGAATAGATTGAGAATTTTATTTCGTTTTTATTTTTTTAATTAATCAAAATACGTTTATTAATTTTAAACTATGATGCGGAAAAATACTACTGCCTGAATTAATTCTTTGCTCTGTTTTCACAACAGTTTGACACAACTTAAAATTTGGCTCATTTTTAATCTCATTGTTTCAAATGTCAAATTTTGTTCTAGCCTGGATGCGGTGTCGAATCAATACAATCACTGTTTTTTATCACCAGAGGGCGCATGAACAAATGCATTTTTTATTAGAAGCCCACTTAAAATGTTAGACTGATTTCTTAAAAAATATATATATCTCTTATATTTGAATTTCTACTGTAAAATATATTATTTTATTTACATTTTCACACTTAGCATACACGGCAATAAAAGTAAAACAAACAAAAAGTTGTTCATAAAATTAATGACGTTGAAATTAATGCACTGAGTACGACAATTTGGATCGATATCAATGAATAGATTTGTATTTATTAGAGGAAAAAAAAACTTTTATAGAGCCTGATGACTTCATTTTAACTAACCAGAAACCAATGTAGTGCACCAAATTCTACATAAATTTTCTGGAATTCAAATGTAAGTAATTGGTCATTTGCTCTTTAATCTGATTATGAAAGGTGGAGTGATGAACTATTCTCCTGAAACAATTATATATATATATTGTTTTCACACACCGTGTTTCAGGTGGGACAACATGAAATATCGCTGAACGATTCCAAGGAAGGAGCGTCAACGCGCGTCACGGGCCGCGGACGCTTTCATTTCTCCGCAGGAACTTCCCGTTTATGGCACCTATCGGATTGTAAACACACCTTGTAGTTTATGTAGCCACACCATTTCTTCTAACTCTAAAAAAAAAACATGTTTTGTTTTTCCTTTCACAAAACATTTTATTGACATGTTATGTTTACTCAGGTTGCAAGTTAACATAAAATAAGACATTGCTTAAAAATTATTAATCGTAGTATTTCCTCATCGGCGAAGAAATAAAAATAAAACATTATGAAGCTAATTATTTATTTTTCATGATGTCATAATTTGGACTCCAAGCCTTTTTGAGTGCGTGCTGCATCTATAAATATTCAAATTAATCCTCAATTACGTTTTGCTAATTGAATGCGAAATGTGTTACTGCTGAGGTGGGAAATTGACGTTCCGAGTTAAGCTGCACGTATTTCGAAAATGAAATCTGTGCGCCTTAATTTAAAGGAGCCGCTGCATGTCAGATCCATCAGAACACCCGCACACATCTGGAATCCATTCATATTGAGAGGAAATTTGTGTTTACATAAAAAATAAAATAAAATCAAGATGCTGAGCAGAATTTTCTTCGCCTGTATTTTTCTCAGTCTGTTCTGCGCATGCTCTCCCCTGAGCTGCAGGTGGATGGAGCATAAATTCAGACAGTACAGCACAAACTCATTAACTCTGCTGGACATGATGATAAGAGACCAGATTTTTTTTTTCTATATTTAGTATTTGATAAGTTCGGAGTATTTGCTGATGTTTATGTCTTTATACTATGCAGGCTTACCATTACGTGAATCAGGACCCCGAGGTGAACATTGCGCCATTCCCTTATCCTCTCTACCACCAGGCTTCAGGAGCATCTGTAAGGCATCTACAAAATCAAAAATTAATATTTATTTTTGATTATTTGCATGTAGTAACCTGTGAATGGTCCCTCCTCCTTGTTCCAGGCAGAGGGTAAACTTGCCTTCACTGTCCAGGTTCTGAAGGAGGTTTCTGCCCTGTTTAAGGAAGATGACGGCTCTTCACCATGGCAGGAGGTGACAATGGAACACTTTCTCAATGTTGTCAACAAACAGGCTGATGAACTACAGCTCTGCGTAAGTACAATTCATTTGTAAACCTCTGATTTATCTTGCAGCATGTAGTCACACTCGATTTCGACATAAAGTTTTGTCACAATATAACCACATACCTGATTGTACAATAATATGGTTTATGTAATAGACCAAAACAAAGTAGCAAATGATCATGTTGAAGGAAAAGGTTACAAAATGACAAATTAGCCAACAAGTTTTGATGTGACTACAGTGTTTGCAGATCCATAGACTAAGATCTATTCCAATTACCTTTTATAAGACAACCTTAACTCAGTCAAATTAAACAGAAGGTCATTGTAAACAATTTTCATATCTTGCAATGCCTTATTTGAAAAATTAGAACATTATTGAAAACTTATTTTATTTCAATAACTCCATCCACAAAGTAAAACGGTTTGAATGGCTTACTTACAGGCTGCCTTTTACAAGCATTTATTTCTGTTAATAGTGATGACTTACAATTGCAATTTGTAAAAACACCACATTTAGTGAGCATATTCTAATTTTGTCTAATTAAATTATTACATATTTGGAGCAGGATGCGCATTGTTAGTTTTCTCACACAAGTAGCATTTATCCATATTTGGCTAGAGGTAAATTCCAAACAAGATTTCTTATGGCTTCCTTCTTTCAGCAATGGCTTTCTTCTCACCACTCCTTATAAGATTTTCAATGACACAACAAATAGTTGTTGTTCAAAGATTCTCCAGTCTCAGCTGTGTAGCTCTGCCGCTCCTCCAGAGTTACCACAGGTTTACTTTACTTGCTAAATCGTGAACTTCTGTCGGCTGCTGGTTGCACACTGGATTTCACGTCAGAGTAGAGAGGCTCAATATAAATGCATAGCACACTTAACCCTTTTAGATCTCTATCTGTAAGAACATTTCAAAACCATACATCATTTCACTTTTCACTTCCCATTTTAGTGCTCCTTTGTGTTGGTCTCTCACATAAAGGTCCAGTAAAATGTCATGAGGAAAAATACATATGAATACTGTGGGTGTTAACCCCACATAAACAGAATCCATTTAATGAATACATATTCATTTCATTATTTCCTTTTATTTTTTTAGGTTGGAAACCCAAGAAGGCCAAACAGGAGGCTGCACGTATACTTTAAGAGACTCTCAAACAGCGTGTTTGGACAGATGGCGAGTCTCCCTTTTTTAATTAGGTGGCTAAACTTGTCACCTGTTTTATTAGTTCGTCTTTGAACACAACCAACAGTTTTGACATGTTACTTATTCCACAGGGACACAGCGCTGAAGCCTGGGAGCTGATCCGGAGGGAAATCAAACTCCATCTAATCAGAGCGGACCACCTGGTTTCTTCTCTGTTCGTCTCCAACTGAAACCTCTGCTTTTCTGACAGCGATCTGTTTATTCATTTGCTTATTTATGTGTCTATTTATTGCTTATTTTTGTATTAAAGAACATGGAACTGACTATAAAATATATTCCGAGAGACACATTTTTATAAACATGTTTTATTTAAAAACATTTTATTTAAAAACAATAAAAATCACCCTATGAAGCAACCTGAAATCTGTTTTCTGTTACACACTGATGAACATGAAGTCAGCCTCGCCGAGGCTCTAATGGGGAGCAGTTGTACGCTGCCGTCAGGTGACAAAACGGTAACAAAATCAGATACAACAAAGTTTATCAAATAATTATATAAAGCACAAAAAAAAAAACTAAAAAAGTAAAAATCCTGCTGAAATTTCAGATGTTAGTTAGAGCAAACAATTTCTTTCACAATCAACACTAAAATGTATAAAATTATCAATGCAAAAATCAGCCGAAAGCATGCTTTAGCATAGTGGTTTTTAAAGATGGGGTTATGTACCCCTCTCTGGACTTTAGAAACCAAAGTAAATGTAAGAATGAATATTTTTGACAAGACACACACAAGAATGTTATAAGATAGAGCAATGTAGTTATGATTGAATGAGGATCTGTTTTCTATACTGTCATCTCCAGGCAACGAGTGCCATAAGAAAATACATTGCTGCACAACATGGGTAGCTAAGAAAGCTGATGTTTTTTTATACCTGAAATTACAGTATTGAGGTCATTAATTAAAATACTGTATTACTGTTTTATAAAGAATCCGTCGATCATTCCTAATCCAAAATCTAAAATGATGAGACGGATCAAACTTGAAGATAATGACTCTACTGTTCCGATTTTTTGAAAGAAAAACATAACATTTACAAACCCACCCTGGGACACAGTTCATGCATTCATACAACAACCACCAACGGAGGGTCTTTGTTGTTGTTTGAATTGTGTTGATGTCCTTTAGATTTAGTTAGCAGTGACGTTTCTGTCCTGCTGGGTCACGACTGTCAGCTGCTGTGATTTTGTAGGGCAAATGCTGGAAAATGTAGAAGTAAACCGTCTTAAGCATATGACAAAAACTGCACCATTCTGGGTAAAACACAGATATATTCACACCCGACAGGAGGCTCCGTCCGTCTGCTTTTCACTGCACAACTGAAAATGATGAGTATGCACTCCATATCAATGGGGCGGCAGGAAATGTCGGTCTCACTCCCACGGGGCCTCGGCTCCCTCAGCCCGAGCGTACGCCGTGAGATCTTCATACAGACCTCCTCCACATGCCTCAATGGCCAAGCCCTAAAAGTGGGGATTAGATGAAATTAATCCACTTGCATAAATGTGTCTGAATCCAATGTATATTCAAAAGAGCCAAGCAATAGCTAAGAAAGACTTTTCTTTATCTCTGAGTACACTTTCATTTGCATGAATGACTCAGACACAAGAAAGTGCAGCTGCTAGATGTCAAAAAAAAAAAAAAAAAAAAGAAATGCTGACATTAACAACAAATATTTGCATCAGCTTTGATGACCTTCCTAGAAAGGGTCATTCTGAGTAGTACTACTTTGTTTTTTCCAAGAAAATAACGGAATGATAATAAAAAGTCTACTTGGGTCTGACCTACCATGCAGCAGATGTATAAATCCCCAACAATGAACATTGTAAAAAACTTCGCAAAAGAAACAAAACGTTTTAAGACCAGTCTGTAGTTTTGGATTACAAATCTAGAATACAATACAATGTGATACAATATTGTAGAATAAAATCAATAGAAAAATGTATAAATTCTTTACATTGACCAAATATTGCAAATAAATAATCATTGATAATAATAATAGAGTTAATTTAGAATTCACAGCAGTATTGAAGCAATGCACATTATTATAGACTTAATTACTTTCAAGGAAAAATTGTTGTATTCTCAGCAGTTCTATGATGTCTTATCTTTATTTTAACTTATGTTGCTGGAGGATTATGTTCCATTTAAAAAAAAATATGTAGGATAATTTAATTAACAACAGAAATATTAATTAATCAGAGACAACAACCACTCAATCTTAAAATAAAATATTGTTTTTGGCCTTAGTGGAATATTTCCACATTACAGTTGCTGGTTCATATTTAAATGAGCAATGTACAATAAATGTAACTACATTTAACCATTTACAGCAGTATTCTTACTCAAAAGTAAGTCCGTAGATCCCTAATATTTTAATAATATTTTATAATTTTACTGTAAAATCATATATATTAGATGCTTAATTCGATAACTATTGTCAGTGACTTCTCTTTATAGCAACAAAAACGCGTCACAGTGTATTTCTTAATCTACAGATACTAATTTTAATGTTACCCTGAATCAATTCTGGCGACAGGCAAAGCGTAGTCCAGACACAAAGCTGCCAGCAGCTCCAACAAAGGATGGAGAACAAACAAAGCAGTTGTGGTTAAAAGGTTAATGATGCACAGAGCCAGAGCTTCCTGTTGCCTGTCAAGATTACACTTGTACTTGTCATGCAAAACAGGCACATCTGTGAAGAGGTTTGAATGTGACACATCTTTATTAAAAATAATTGAACAAAGGAAATGTCAAACCAGGTTAAACAAACCTCATATATGTGGTCAGTTTCAGGCTCTTCGTATAAGCTGTCGTTATCTTTCATCTACATGAAAGGGAAGAAAGAAACCAGGTTAGATATTTGGCATGATATTTATGATGACTTTAAATAGATATATCCATCCATGTATTTTTTTTAAAAAAAGCTCTATTTTGTGTAATTATTATTATGAAGAAAAGAGAACCTCTGGAGCACAGTCAAGACCAGAATTTATATACAAATGCCTATATTCAGTACTTTTGAATGTACTTTATGTTACATTACCAGTGTTCTTTGCTTACTACCTTATGTATTCATATGTTTTATCTTTTTCATTTTATTTGTGTTATTTAGAGACATCAATTACTCTGTTAGCTTAACTCTCATACCCAGGCCCACCAAAAGTGCCACAATTTAACAAATAGTAAGTCTTTATATATTATTTAAATACATTATGAATTAATCAAAACGGGAAGTGAATGCATTTAATACGCGGACGAATTCGAAGAGATTTGAATCAGTCAGTAGTTAAACGCATACGTAAAAACTGAAATGTAAAATTTAATGTTTTAGAGTGGATCACTTCTGAACAGAGCTCCACTGGGTTTGATTCGGGGATATCGGAGTGAAGCGGGTTGAACAGAAACCCGCTTGCTTTTGTTTTTCTTTCAAATCACAGTCAGGTGCCACTTCGCGTGCTCCATCACATGAAATTTCAGTAATATCCATGTAAGCTATAAGCTGATAAAATATACATAGATACACAGAAGCATGTCTATAAATGAGCCACATTTACTATATATATAAAACAATTTTTAGCTGAATAAATATTTGTTCAACTATGTTAGATGCTAAATAAATTTGGAAATGGAACCATAAATATTTAAATGTGCCAGTAAGCAAATAAAGTAAAGTTAGAAGTGTCTGCTAAAACTACTTCAGCAGATTTTGTGCTACTGTAAATTTATTCAAACTATTACTGCGACTTGTCAAACACACCCCGGCATGTGCTTGGTTAACCTGCACATCATTTTATATTGACCACAACAACCCCATCGAGTGACCCTGACACCAGATTAATACAAATAGTACCCCTAGTTGTATTTAATCTAACTTGTATTAATCTAGGTAGGCAGAAATACCTGAGTGTTGTTGCTAAATACGTCTATCCCTTTATGACCAGATCTTCTGATGACTACTGCCAGCAATGTAATGCATAAAGCCACAATGCTCAGATCATCTCGAGCTAGTTTCTTGTCATAATAAAGAGTTCACTCCACCTCAGTGCCCTACAAAGTCACTAGATTTCAATCTGCGATGTGTTTGAACACCAGACGATGGATATGCGCAACTACCAAATTAAAAACTGTCTTTCTCTTTTTCTAACCTATGTCTGATTGTTAAAACAAAATAATCATTTCCCTTACAATGCATATGCTTTTGCTGTTGTGTTAAGAACAGTTTGATGAAAGCAGCCCGTACCAGATTTTGTCTACGCAGTAGATAAGCACCGATACAAACACCCAACAGCAGGCCCTGCAGGACAATAAGGCCATCCTTCATCTGGCTTCTGTACAGGGCTTTGACAGGGTCGTAGGGCCCTATCATGGAGTGAAAAACGAGAAGTTAGAGGTGTGTTTTGACTGTGTATTATTTTTATCTATCACACGGAGTCTTGTCCACTTACTGACTACTTGTACTTCAGTTCCAGGGCCAAAAGTGCCATTTACTGAGCAGTAATACACTCCTCTGTCCTCTACTTTGAGGTCGTTGAAGTACAGGAAAGCGTTTTGGATCATAAGTTGATGTCCAAACCGAATCCTTTCATTATCCATAACCTTATTCTTGACCGCGCCATATTTGTCAGCTTTGTGCCACTCCACTGTGCTTTTCAGATGTTGATGTGAGACTTGGCAGTAAATAGGCACATTCTTACGAGGTCTTAATCCGTAGAACCTGGGTTTCTGGCTGATCTGCAGGGCGACTGAGCAGACAACAGAAAAAGTTACAAGAAATTGAAAAAGACAGAGTTTGCCGTTCCGTTTAGCCTCAAGAGATCCGTCTCAATTTTGAATACAGTTTACTTGGACACAAGAAAATAATTTACTTGGGCAAATTTTGTATTTGGATATCTAATTCTTATTACTGGTTATCGTCTGAGGTAATCCTAGTGTAAGCGCTGGGAAAACGTAAAGACCAAGTGTATTTTTATGCTTATGACATGTAATTATTCTGGTTGTAAAAGTCCTAACCTGAACTTAGGAACTGAGGGGGAAATGACTAGTGACTGCCAAGATGAATAATCAGAGACCTGAGGAAATAAATAAACAGAGGGAATCTGAAACAACAGCAACTACAACCTAAATCACGTTTTAAATACACGAAAAATATAAAATATGAAATCTAACAACTGAACTGACAACTATAAATAGAATGCCAGAGGAGACAAGAAAAAAGAAAAACAAATACAATATGGCAAATAGCGAAAGAAACTCATAAATCCAAGACATTGGGTTTATATTTTATTTTATACAGAGAAACAATTATATTTTGAAATATTAGGGTTTAAAAGTTTTTTGATCACCTGTATTTAGTCCTGGGATATAAGCACCTGGGATAATTTGTCAGTTCAAAAAATAAGCATTCAAAATGATTTGATTAGTTCTGCTGAGAAAATCCACATGAATCCTTTATCCAAGTATAAGGGGTCATTTCTTTCAAATAATGTAAATAAGCAAAAGAAAACAAATGAATCCCATATTTATCCACTTTTTAATTGTAAAAGATTATTATTATTTTTTGATGTTTTAAAACTAAATATTTTACCAACATTGAACCAAATATTAAGTTAATAGAGCAGTTTACTATAGCAACAAGACTTGTAAGCCACATCGATTTTCAATGCTTATGATTAGAATTATGCATCCTATGAAACAATTAAACAAACAAAAAGTCCAACTTACCAAAATGTTAACACTGATTAGCAAAGGAAAAAAATAATAATAATAATAATAATAAAAATATGTACTGAATAAAATGTGATTACACAGATACGCATGATGTCTAATGCTTCAAAGAAAATTATATCCGTTTTGTCCTGTATTTTATTTACAGAGTGACTCAAAGGTGAGGAAAACAACCACCAATTAAGTGACAAGACAACTGAGTTTGTAGAGATCATAGTTTCTCATAAAGGATAGGAAATGCTTTTAACAAAGTTCTTTAGCTATTGTAAAATAATTTCAAGGAAGCTCATAAACATGACAATAACATAATATTCTTTGTCTCAGACAAGAACTTCCTCTTTTCACCTCCAGATGGCCAGGAAGTAACGATAAAAATAACATGCAAAACTCCTGTGTCGCCTTGTAGCTATGGTTAAACAGACCTTAATGGTTAAACAGACCTTAAAAATATGATTAAATAACATCGTAGCAATAAAAGCACACAGCTATTAGAGGAACAAGATTCAATTTGCTGACATTGATTACAGGTGTGGCAGAAAAATTACAGGTCCTGCATGTTTTCTCGAGTTTGCTAACAAGTGAAGTGAACCGTGTGACAACAGTTTATAATTACCTGATATACTTATCAACACAAATCCAAAGCATCCAGCTAGAGTCCAACGCATGATGACACGCAAAAGGAAAAACCGACTTAACAGTTGACACCGCGAGTGCGTGGAGGACTCTCTGCAGTCTGCACAAGAATTAAGCTGTTACTACAGGAGTGGGTGTGGAGTCCGTCTGACAAGCTTCAGTCTCATGCAAATGAGGGGAGGAGAGCAACAAACCAAAATAACTTTGAGCAATGCACTTTCAATATTACAGCCTGGAAAAGAAAGAAAAGTTCATTTAAAACTAAAAGAAAATTATTATAGCCTTTGAATCGAGGAAGTTGAAAGAGAAAACTATGTATATATATATATATATATATATATATATATATATATATATATATATATATATATATATATATATATATATATATATATATATATATATATATATTTGAGCCTTTTGGTACAGATGGCAACTTAACTCTAAGTTGTTTTAACTGGCAATGTGTCTTTTTTTTTACACCACTGTGGAGGGATTTTCAGCCACTCTTCTTTGCAGAATTGTTTTTAATCAGCCACACTGGGAGGCTTTCAAGCATGAGTGGGTCTGTTTAAGGTCACAGCAGCTTCATCACAATCCAACTTTGGCCTCTGACTATTCGACTTCACAGTCTTAATGATTATTTATCTTAGTCATTTGGAGCTGGACATGCTGGTGTGCCTTGGATCATTGGCACGCTACAAAGGTCATTAAGACATGACATATTATTATTATTTTTATTATTATTTTTCCTTTTGGCCTTTACAATCTATCACTGTTCAAGTATTCTTTTGAAAAACAATCGTATTGCAACAAACACCCCGAGTTTCATAAATATTCTATGGTTTAAAGCTCCCTATCACAGTGAGAAAGTTGGTGAGGTTTGTCGTTTATTGCGGTGGAACACGTTTAAGGAGGCAAGGTGTTCTGGTAAAGTCATTAGGGAACTGCAGCAAACAGCAGATGTTATCGGATGCGACAATTTTAATAAACTATGTTGATGTGATTAAAATCACCAGTCCAATGTATTACATCTACATAAGTAATAATATATGGAAACATCAGAAAAATATTAGGAGACTAACACAGAGTGGCATTGAACAACATGACTATTCCTTTTGGCACCTAAACCTACCAAGCCTTCGTCCTACAGAGGGTATTCCCCTGTGAACTCATTTCCTTAACATAACAAGTGAATGTGTGTGTATGCGTGTGCATGCTAGCATGCAAGCAGATAAAGGAGATAGAGGAAAGATGCAGAATCATATATCCATAACAATATATAGACTACTTATTATCTGCAATCTGTGTTCGCTGTTCATCCAAAGCAGGAAGAGATGTTTTACCTAAATATTTAGTTGCTTAATGGGATTCATTCCGTCATATTCAACAGCATTCATCAACTTCACCTGCAACATATCACATTGCACATTTTTATCAATATTGTGCGCTCCTATTTGCTTTCGGCATTTTCTGACAGAGAGCAGATTCTGGTCAGCCAAATAATGGTCTGAACCAGTTTGGACAATCCCACGCTCTTCTCTGTTTGTCACCAGCACCATGAGGTGTCCAGTCACCATGTCCTCCATGGCTACCTCCTCTTCTTCCTCTCCCGAAAAAGCTTTTATAATTTAACCAAAGTACTGTTGCCAGTGTCCTGAACAAGAACACCAACCACTGACATGCGGCCAGTCCAAAAATCACACATAAGCAATTGAGAATCCCATAATCATCAGAGAACTACTTACTAAGAACTAAGCAAGGGAAGCCAGCATCTATTATCTATGCTTAAAAGTTGGAAGCTGTTATCAGTTTTTTTTAATCAGTTATTTTTGTGTTATATTATCATTTTGCTGCTTCTTTCAAGCCGTGCTTAGATTATTTGTATGCAAGTTTGCCTTGCATATGAATGGTGACATAGAAACAGGTTTAACTGAAAACTGGTAGGCTCCTTATGCAACAGCCATAACCAGTCAAGAGTGAAGTTTTCAAGTCAGCCAAGCTGATCACATTTCCCTAATTCTCTGCTCTGTGTAGCACCAGTCCAGTATGTATTCACTGCATTAGCTTTATCAGCTTTCACAACATGGCAACACCAGATAAATCAAATTTAAATGCTGCTCTCTCCTCAAATATGGACTTGCATTTCAGCTTCGGATGTAGTTTTACTAAATCTAATGTTTGTAAATGTAAATATTTATACTTATTCCTTTAGGGTGACTTTTTAACCGTCTGTCTAGGGCGTGCAGGTGAAAAAGAGCCTTCTGGCTAAATGGGCATAAGAAATGTTGCTAATATGCGTTGTCACTGTAAAAAATAAATTCAAATTTCTACAAAGAAATCGGTTTCCAGCAGCTATGCTTCAGGTCAATAGATGAATGGCTGTTTGAGTAACAGATTTGTCTTCGGGAGGTATAAAATGGCTGAAACAGGAAAATGAACAATGCACCCCGATTGGAACCCAACTCTTCTGACATTACCAACTTTATCATTCTGTTTTTATCAAACTGTTTTTTTGCTGGACTCTCCTAAATAACAGAAAACAAGAGATGGTAATATTTGCTCGC